TTTTTCGCCCATGGGCGTATAAGTGTACTACTTTCGATTTTTGGCCCAGTGGGCGTAAGGGTGAGAAGAGCCACCGCGGGGTGGGCATCAGCCATCTTCCTCAAAGACTACCGTACCTACTGTTGTAGTCCTACCGCATGTTTTGTAAGAATTACAAGGGAAATGTCACCTACAACCTTGGACTTAATGTTGAAACAAAGTAACAACAGAACGATCCATCACTGCCACTTACGGCACAGCGTTGAACTTAATGTTGAAACAAAGTAACGACAGAACGATCTGCCAGTGACAAAATACTCTTGAATTTATTGAAAAAAACAATAAATAGTCATTTTTAATAAGCCCATGGGCGTATAAGCGTACTACATTCGATTTTTGGCCCATGGGCCTAAATTTAGGGGGGCGTATATGCGAGAAAATCCTGTAAGGGTTATTGTTCACGATTGCAGCATAAGATACCATATGGAATATGCGATATCAGCAACATAGGTTCATGTTCATTTACGCAGCATCAGCATCATTATAACTATAACGCCACAGTCAATCACAGGAATGATGATATTTCACAATATAGTTTATCGTAGAATTGTAGCAATATACATAAAGTTCAGCAAGGTCAGGTCACTCTGGGAATAATTAATAAATATTTTGTCTCACCTCATATCAGGTAATATTTCGCATCACAATTATCACATATGAATAGTCATTACTTCAATTACGTCACGCTATGGACATCACATTCTGCTACGAACTGCCTAGTCTCTTAAGCACATATCACATATGAATGGTAATTACTTCATCAATTACGTCACGCTATAGACATCACATTCTGCTACAAACTGTCTAGTCTTTTACGCAACAATATCATCTTTCTCATACAACACTGAACGCTTAAAATATAAAATAATTATTTGCTAAGTAACTTGTCTAACTCACTCCATAAAATCTAACATTTGTAGTAATTGAATAAAATAGTATATTAACATAACATCTACATAAAATTAACAAAATAGATTGAACATAAATACCTTAGATAAATTTCTCATATTTTTACACCCATCTGTGCCTGCCTTACTTGCCTTCTACACACAAATCTTGCTCTACATTGCAAAGTAACCTTGTACAGTTTTAATCCTATTCATTGTTTATGGTATAATTAGAAAGTGTGAATGCATTGCCAAAGAAATTGTACAAAGGAGGTAAACAAGGTAGTGTTTCAAAAAGGAGGTATACTCCCATACTGCATTGATATGTGACACACATTGACCTTTAATTTCATGTTTTTGCAGCTGTATATTTTGGTAATAATTCAAGATCAAATAAATAAAGAAATAGCGACTTGGGCAAGGCCAAGGCATTCGGAAACCATACGTTTTCACATAAGCCACCCCCTTTCCTCATACATGGGCTTTAGTTGAAAACCCATGCCTCATATAAACTAAGAAGGGGAGCAAAATAACATATTTGATCATAGAATGCGACACAAATATATCAGTTATGCAATAAAAGTATGTTTTGTATGAGAAATGAACAAAAAATAAATTATGTAAAAAGATAAATTAGCATTGTTTTTCTTGAATTCATTGAACAACAGGGGACAAGCTCATCAGAGAACGACGCGAAGCTAATGCCTACCATGCCAGTTGAATATCTCACCATCATGATACCCTATATCCCCTTTGGGGTCTACATAGAATCAACTGATAAACCAACAACATAATACCCTAAACCGGCCATTTGTTTCTTATCCCAATAAACACCACAGCCTGATCGGACACAGCCCACAACTCGAAATATATAACCTATTACAACCAAACACAACCTAGATCACCAGTCATGCAACAGTTCAATAGAACATAACCCAGGGTCAAAATACTCAGAACGCAATATAGCATAACCCAGCACCAAAGCCAGCATGGCGCAACCTGACTTACAACCACCAAAACACAACCAACTGTCAGATTAACACAATATGTCACAACCCAATAATAAGACAACAAAGACAAACACAACCAATTTTTGAATTAATTCAACACAATTGTGCACAATCCAACACTAAACAATAAAAACACAACCAGGCACAACCAATAAAACACAGCTAAACTAACAACCATGAAAACACATCGAACTGTGAAATTATCACCACACAATTTGGCACAACCCAATGTTAAACCAACAAAAGCAAACACAGCCCATTGTTCAAGTAACACAACACAATTTTTCAAAAGCAAAAACCAAAAAATCAAAACAAAATCAGGCACAGGCAAAAAACACATTAAAATTGTAATACCGAGATACACAACTAACTTAACCCAATTGGAGACAACGCCAATCACACAACACAATCAGACAAAACAAGATACCTCACCCTACTAGCCACAACCAGCTAGCCAACCTACAGATCATATTCACAAGAGAAAACAACCCATTATAAGATTAACATAACACAATGGGACACAACCCGATACTAAATCACCAGACTAACAACCATCAAAAGAGAACCTAGTCTCAAACGTACACAACACATTTCGGCAATACCTATACCTACTTGACACTAACCCACCATTACACAACCAGGCTTAGTCAAATACTCAATCGATTCACTCAACCCATCAAAACACAATCAGGCAAAACCAATAAACCACAACGAAACGTTGATACCGATTTACTCAACTAAGTTATTCCAACTGGAGACAATCGCACAAAACAATTGGGGACAACCCGGTATCTACTGAATATGTACTTGAATTACAACCCCCCCTTCCCTATCATCCCAAGGCTGCTAATGAAGAACACATCATGGACCACTACCCAAGAGTTAGGAACATCTGGGGCCCCTACCGTGACTCACATGTAAGAGAGAAGATCCGTTACAGGATCTGGATGTCAGGCCTGTCTTTACAAAAATGAAAATAGGAAATGATACGCCAATATCATCATCCTAGGATCAAAGAAATATACTCTACCTGTTACATAATCACTGACGGTGGTTCGGGGAAGCTTGGGCACTAAACTTTAGGGCACTAGTCTCCCTGGACCCCCAAACGAGGCCGCTTACTATTTGACATAGATCGCACGACTCGATGCGTGTTCAAGTCATACCACGGGAAGAAGCTACCTGGCTAAAAAAAATTCAAAATCATTCAGTTTTTCATCATACTGAGCACTTCTCGGGAGTTTTAAGCCAAAAAAGCCCCCCCCCCTTGTCACAAGCTGGATACGGGCAAGAGTGATGCGGGGCGCCATCTTTAGACCCAATGTAACATTCATTGTCGAGGTCAGGAAAAAGCTACTATACTCAAACTAAGCCCAAGACCCTGCTCTATATGAATTCGGAGCGTGACTTAAGGCATAAAATATATATTCAGGTGGCCTAGCTGATAACCATTGGTTTGATGTCCCTAAGAAATTGACTACGGTATTACTATTGACCCCAGAAACGATAGACCTTACATCTGCCTATTAGCAAATGTGACTAAAGCTTTATTTGTAAAAATTGCAGGCCCATCGCTTATAATCAAATTTATCGGCAGATAAGGCAATTACTTATCAAAATTAGCACGACACACATGATAACATATGTGTGTTACTAAAATTATACATTTAGGGAAAAAATTATCAAGATTTGAAGGACAAAATAGATACGGAGACAACTACGCACTAGTCCATTTGTCATTTTTTGAATGTATAAATATTTAAAAGTATGATGTTTTTCTGTGTAAATACTATCATTAGGGATTATTGGAGTGATTTAGCTGGGTTGCCCAAAAAATAACTTTGGGGAAAATTTTTGTATCTATTACCATGGTAACATACCAGGTATATGGTGGTATCCAAACGCTAAGTCAATAGTCAACGCCATGTTAAGCGATTGCACCCCTCCCTAATCAGCCTATATCATTTTTTCCCCAAACAAACTTTTTGGGCAACCCAGTTAAATCACTTCAGAAAACCCTTATTATCATAAATCGTACTTTTAACAATTTCTAGGTTCACTATTGGATGTATAGGGGTGACAAATGGACTACACAGAAAGTGTTCGTTTACGTACTTTCTGTATTGCTGTTGGTATCACAAACGTATTGAGTACACTTTTACTCCATCGATGCGTTACGGATTTTGATACGGGTAGCTAAAACGTTGTGCGAAACATGTACACTGTAATTATTGCAATACGATTCCATACAGTGTAAAATAAATTGAACATACCATTTGAAAAACTCGATTTATTTCAAACAATAAACAAATTCATTCACCAAATGTTAGTCAAATTATACACAGCACACTGTGCTTGTTCATATAGTGCTATTTTTAGAACTAAAAACCATATAATCGAAGGGTCAAATCGGATACGTAAATGACCAACGTACAAAAGCCTCATTTTTGTGTTTTCCGTATCATTTCACGTATATATTGAACTGACTACGCATAAATCTGATAAATACGTTACGGATACGGATCCGTGGAGCTAAAAAACGTTTTGCGAAACCTCTCTATTATTCAAAAGGGATCGTAATAATGATTCCCAGCCCTCTGAAGTTTGAAAAATAACAATACCTGGGTGTTAATCCATAGATAATCCTTGAAAATGAGAAATATTTTTGGGGATATATGGTGCAATCTTATAATCAATAAAATGTTCTAAAGTGTATTGATGTTTTTATGATGAAAAGCATAAGAGAACTGCTTGACAAAACTCCCTCAATTCATTTTACAAACAACTCCCCTTCTTCTCCATAACGTTCAACTAGCACGAACATCATTGTACACCAAATTGTACTTGGTGAATAAGGAAGTACAATTAGCTTGTTCATCATAAGAGTTTAGTTTATGTTTTAATGTTCTAAGTAAATTTTCAGGATGATCTTTGAGCTAGCATTGAAACAGGATGTTTACTCTAGAAACCAGAAAACAATAAGTACAACGATTGGTTGGCCAATGCAATATGTCTTTGTCGGTCAAACATCAGACGTCATAACTGTCATAACATCCCTGTGAAGGTAATATTGTTGTAAACATCCAGTACGTTATTTTTTGTATATAAATACCCTCAAATTTCATGTTCTTCAAGCTGCATATATAGAACCTGTACAATAAACCGACGACAAGGGGATCATTCAAGAATGAAGATATTAGTTGTGCTGCTATTTGTTGTGGGAGTTTTGAATGTGCATTGTGCATCAATAACGATTTCCTCAAAAGAGGTAGGTCTTACAAAATACAGAACTATGAATCCATGAAAATATAAATTGATCGATCTTTGCATTTACCTCGAACTCCAATTAAAATGAAGTTCGTTGGGTCGTCCAGGTCATCCTATGTGTGCACGAGGTTCACTGTGTTCAACTCATAACGGTCACTCTATGCGGTGCATTGTATTAAGCTCATATTGATCACTCTTTGTTCATGAAGTTCGTTGGGTCGTCCAGGTCATCCTATTTGTGCATGAGGTTCATTGCGTTCAACTTCTATTGGTCATTTTATGTGTAAATGAGTTACATACACCTGCAAACCTAGTACTTACTCTTCAAAAAATTAAAAACGATTTTGGTGTTCATGAAGGTTATGTTATTAATCGAGAAGGAATATGGCTACATGTCATTGGTGTAAAGTTTGCCAAAATGAGACAATATTACTGCCTGGTTTTCCCTATCTTAAAATGGTCAAAATGACCATGGATTTGATATAAATATGTGAAACTTTCCTAGTCATTACTATGTATGTTTCAGAATGATGACTTCAAAGTGATCAAAAATCACAAAGATCTCACTGACGCTGTATCGGAGCATTGCGAACCAACTCAAGAAGACCTCTTGGGCCCATTTTTTAAACCAGATACAGCGGAAAATAATCACATTTGTATGCGATATAAAAATTATACCATTCTACCGAAGATCAGTATAAAAGGATACGTGAAGAATGTGGACTGTGATGCACTGAGTGGAGCGAAAATTGAGATTTGGCAGGCAGATGAGGAAGGGGGATACCACAATGATAATACATGCAGGGGATACATCCTCTCAGATGAGAATGGCTTCTATAATTTTGAAACAATTCATCCTGGACGTTATGTAGTTAATGGGCAGTTTAGGCCAGCCCACATCCACATTTTCACCACAAAGCCTGGATATCATAGCCTAGTAACTCAGATCTACTTTGAAAATGATCCGTATTTGGGAGTTAGCGACGCATGTCCACCTCCATACTGTCACTCTAATGATCCTCATAGAACAATTAGTTTGGAGACAGTCGGGTCTACCAGACAATCTGAGGGTTTTTTCGATATTGTTCTCGACAGCTAACACAATATAACGTTGCAGTCTCTATAATGGAGAGATTTCGCCTCTGAACGTTTTTTATAATAATAACGAAAAATAAAAAAGTTATGATTGGTAAAGGACAATGCACCTTTTTTTCTTTACTGAGGGTAATCAATTTTCAAAAATATTTTTTATCAATTCAAAATTTTTTTTGCAAAAAAACACATCTTTTTACCAAAAAACTCACTTCAACACCTATTTCATCTTGGCAAATCTCAGTATCAATAAAGGAACCCTTTACCTTTCATTTAATAACCATGGTTAAGGTGCTCGTCAAAATGTAAGATGTCATTTTATTTTCAACATACCAATTCTAGACTATAAGAACTTAAGGAAGATCACATAGAGAACATACCAAATAGTCTTAGATGATCATGGTCATTTACTTTTTAAATCCCATTTATGATTACTTTCATTTTTTAGTCAAGAAGTGCAAGGTTTCTCATTTGGTGAATCATTCGACGAGCATTGCTACAGATTTTGTCAGTCGTACAAAACACAAAGCCCTAAAGATGACATGATGTGCAATCAATCTGTATATTTAAATGAAAACAAGCATTGCTGCCATAAAAATGTAATAAAATAATTATGAAAAGAAAGTATATCATTAGTTTGATCATGTAGTGTATTTGAAGTTTTATTACAGCAATATTTTATACAAAAACCAATGGGGCTGGTGTCAAGAATAACTCTCTTGAGGAAATAAGTGAACTGCCATCTATACGAGTCTCAGCACATTAAATCACATTCATACAAACTTATTTTACCAATATTGAACAATGAACATGTAAAACTTCCCATTCATTCAACATAACCACTGGTAACCTGTGATTGTTTCACTTTCTTATATATAGATGGCATAATTACATAAATCAAAGCATTTTAGATCAAGTCATGAATTATACTCAACTCAAAAAGTTTGGAAACATTAACTCCAATTCAGACAGATCTTCAAAGCCATGAATTCCTCACCTAACGTTATTCAGGAAGAAGGGATTTATAATGCATAAATAGCCTTTTTCAGCTATCTAATCAAGAGTCTTGGATGCCAAACTTTTGAAGGGGAGTATACTCATATATTTAAGTAGATGTATAACTCAACACTGTGGTTTCCGTTCTCTGAACTCCTACCAAGAAATATCTATAAAACTTATATATACAGCCAACGGCTATAAGATAATATAACAAATACTTAATAAATCTACAAAAAGTATTTTTAGCAAATTACTACAAAAAAAATGATGTTGATTACATAAAATAAGATATATGCCAGTTGCATGAGGCATCTTACATAGTCATATCACTCCAAGAATAAAATATATTTAGACCTTGTTTTCAAAAGGCCCTATCCTATGTGGAAAATGACCCCATTTCTAGAAAAATGTGCTCCAATTTTGCCATTTAATCACCTGATTGAAGTACATCCGTATATCAGAAAACATTAGAGTAGTTTCTTTACTTTTGAACATCTACACATTAATGTTCATGATTGGATATTATCAGAGAAGCACTTTTTCTCATGTACATGGAGAACATGTATATGTTGGATATCAGGGTTCTCACTAGGCTTTTAGACTCTGGAGATTCTCCGTAGTCTAATGTCTTAAAACCCTCTCGCTCCAGAGTCTAATAGCCTTTCCGGACCGTAAAGTGTTTTTTCCAGAGTCTAATTTTATATTTTTGTCACATTATTTGCGGTAAAACTCTTGAAAAAATACATAAAACTGGGGGAGAAGTAGTCGCGATACCGCAAAAAAAATCCGGAGTCCAAAATTTCCTGGTGAGAACCCTGGATATCATAAAGAACTTTCTCTCATGTGTATCTATACATCAATGTACATTAAGTCAACACTTTGTAGTATGGACTGGATATCATTAAAGAACTTTCTCTCATGTGTATCTATACATCAATGTACATTAAGTCAACACTTTGTAGTATAGACTGGATATCATTAAAGAAATTTCTCTCATGTGTATCTATACATCAATGTACATTAAGTCAACACTTTGTAGTATGGACTGGATATCATTAAAGAACTTTCTCTCATGTGTATCTATACATCAATGTACATTAAGTCAACACTTTGTAGTATGGACTGGATATCATTAAAGAACTTTCTCTCATGTGTATCTATACATCAATGTACATTAAGTCAACACTTTGTAGTAAAGACTGGATATCATTAAAGAACTTTCTCTCATGTGTATCTATACATCAATGTACATTAAGTCAACACTTTGTAGTATAGACTGGATATCATTAAAGAACTTTCTCTCATGTGTATCTATACATCAATGTACATTAAGTCAACACTTTGTAGTATAGACTGGATATCATTAAAGAACTTTCTCTCATGTGTATCTATACATCAATGTACATTAAGTCAACACTTTGTAGTATGGACTGGATATCATTAAAGAACTTTCTCTCATGTGTATCTATACATCAATGTACATTAAGTCAACACTTTGTAGTATAGACTAGATATCATTAAAGAACTTTCTCTCATGTGTATCTATACATCAATGCACATTAAGTCAACACTTTGTAGTATAGACTGGATATCATTAAAGAACTTTCTCTCATGTGTATCTATACATCAATGTACATTAAGTCAACACTTTGTAGTATAGACTGGATATCATTAAAGAACTTTCTCTCATGTGTATCTATACATCAATGTACATTAAGTCAACACATTGTAGTATAGACTGGATATCATTAAAGAACTTTCTCTCATGTGTATCTATACATCAATGTACATTAAGTCAACACTTTGTAGTATAGACTGGATATCATTAAAGAACTTTCTCTCATGTGTATCTATACATCAATGTACATTAAGTCAACACTTTGTAGTATAGACTGGATATCATTAAAGAACTTTCTCTCATGTGTATCTATACATCAATGTACATTAAGTCAACACTTTGTAGTATGGACTGGATATCATTAAAGAACTTTCTCTCATGTGTATCTACAGGGTGTCCCGAAAGTATGGGGCCCCCCCCCTAGGCAGACATATTCCAGTGTCTTCATAGTATGTGTCATATATCATTTTAAAGCTTATCCAAAGTTACATTGATTTGCCAAGTATCATGGTTTAACTCCCAAATGGGAAAAAGTTACAGTCGTTTTAATAGTTAGTGTTTTGTCAAAATAAAGTTCAATTTTACACCACATTACTAGTCAATGTGCCCCCCTTGGCCATGTTAACAGCAGCAATTATTTTCAGATATGACCTTAAAAGCCCTTCAAATAGGGGTGTGGAATTGTATAACCCTCTTAAAACCTGTTAAGGGACTTTAGAAGAGTTTCCTTAGAGTCACCGTTCTCTTTTTCCAACTCAATATTCATCCGACCCGTAAAGAATTGCTGCTTTTAAGATGGCCCGGGAGGACACATTGACTAGTGATTTGGTGTAAAATTGAACTTAATTTTGACCAAACACTAAATTTTGAAATGCTTGTAATTTTTTCACATTTGAGAGTTGAACCATGATACTTGGTGAATCAATGTAACTTTGGATAAGCTTTAAAATGATATATGACGCATACTATGGAGACATTGGTATATGTCTGCCTAGGGGGGGCCCCATACTTTCGGGACACCCTGTATACATCAATGTACATTAAGTCAACACTTTGTAGTATAGACTGGATATCATTAAAGAACTTTCTCTCATGTGTATCTATACATCAATGCACATTAAGTCAACACTTTGTAGTATAGACTGGATATCATTAAAGAACTTTCTCTCATGTGTATCTATACATCAATGTACATTAAGTCAACACATTGTAGTATAGACTGGATATCATTAAAGAACTTTCTCTCATGTGTATCTATACATCAATGTACATTAAGTCAACACTTTGTAGTATAGACTGGATATCATTAAAGAACTTTCTCTCATGTGTATCTATACATCAATGTACATTAAGTCAACACTTTGTAGGATAGACTGGATATCATTAAAGGACTTTCTCTCATGTGTATCTATACATCAATGTACATTAAGTCAACACTTTGTAGTATAGACTGGATATCATTAAAGAACTTTCTCTCATGTGTATCTATACATCAATGTACATTAAGTCAACACTTTGTAGTATAGACTGGATATCATTAAAGAACTTTCTCTCATGTGTATCTATACATCAATGTACATTAAGTCAACACTTTGTAGTATAGACTGGATATCATTAAAGAACTTTCTCTCATGTGTATCTATACATCAATGTACATTAAGTCAACACTTTGTAGGATAGACTGGATATCATTAAAGAACTTTCTCTCATGTGTATCTATACATCAATGTACATTAAGTCAACACTTTGTAGTATGGACTGGATATCATTAAAGAACTTTCTCTCATGTGTATCTATACTTCAATGTACATTAAGTCAACACTTTGTAGTATAGACTGGATATCATTAAAGAACTTTCTCTCATGTGTATCTATACATCAATGTACATTAAGTCAACACTTTGTAGTATAGACTGGATATCATTAAAGAACTTCCTCTCATGTGTATCTATACATCAATGTACATTAAGTCAACACTTTGTAGTATATACTGGATATCATTAAAGAACTTTCTCTCATGTGTATCTATACATCAATGTACATTAAGTCAACACTTTGTAGTATAGACTGGATATCATTAAAGAACTTTCTCTCATGTGTATCTATACATCAATGTACATTAAGTCAACACTTTGTAGTATGGACTGGATATCATTAAAGAACTTTCTCTCATGTGTATCTATACATCAATGTACATTAAGTCAACACTTTGTAGTATGGACTGGATATCATTAAAGAACTTTCTCTCATGTGTATCTATACATCAATGTACATTAAGTCAACACTTTGTAGTATAGACTGGATATCATTAAAGAACTTTCTCTCATGTGTATCTATACATCAATGTACATTAAGTCAACACTTTGTAGGATAGACTGGATATCATCGGAGTATTTGTTCTTGAAATAATTTTGGAATTCCTTTCTAATGGCCCCTACATCTGGAAGGTCGTTACAGCTTG